TGGCTGGATAATTGAAAAATTGTATTACGTATGGGTCCAAATCTACTTTTTTGTCATAATTTTAAATCCGAATCCAAATTGAATTCTTGTTTTTATTTATTTATTATATGCTGGTTTTTGCCAAAAATACTTTCTAGAATTCAGAATTATTGTTTCAAAATATTGATTTTAATATATTTTTTGGATTTTCAAATAGAAGAACATTTGGATGGTATTATCTCTTACTATTACTCTGTCTACTTGAAATATCGGTTATTTTAATACGTATTTAGTACTACTCTTTGTCTAAAATTTCATAAAAAAAATATTTGATTGTTCTCAGTAATTTTTCAGTTTGTAGAAAAAAACGACAATTTCAGTATATTAATTTCAAATTGAATTTCTCAAAACAAAAAAAATTGAAAATGAATTTTTATTACAAAAAAAAACAAAATTAACCAACAAAAAAATATTTCTAGATAAATTGTTTTCGGAATGTTGCGTTTTTCTCTTTTGTGTTGATTTTTAAAGAGAACAATGTGAATGTATTTCCAATAATTACAAAGATTATGAATATAATCATTCATTTAGATATGCTTTTACTCTTTTTATGACAAAAATATCTTCATCCACTTGAGATTAAATCAAGAATTAACATGTTAATTCGTTACTGTTTGATGGGAACCAGCACAGAGATCATGGAATAATGCGTGGTCAAAAGATAATATGCAACTTTGAAGGACACATTTTAATAATATTTTTCATTTCAAAATTTTGTTTTATTAACATCTTGTTTATAACTTGCAAACTACAAAAGCTCTTCCTCGTTGCTCAATTCTCAACCACAGAAAATTATATTAGCTTAGAAAATAAACAAAAATCATCAAACAAACTCTCACCAAGCAACTTGGTCTTTTTTTTAATAAATTTATTATGTATAAACAATCACTATCAATCATTGTTGTGACTCTTGACCCACTGTAATATACTTGCATACTAAGCATCATTGTCTTATTTTATTTTTTTGTGTGTGTTGTATAAATTTTTGACAATTTTGGTAAGTCAAAATTGGACCTTTAATGTCTCTATGGGCTCTACTCATACCATAAGTGAGAGTTACATTTGTAGTTGTTTTTGGATTTTGACTTCAAAGAATCAAAAGTGTCATAAATACAAATGGATATGATGCTTCTCTGTTCAAACAAACTCACAATTTCAACATTAAAATGCAAGTTTTCAGTACCATATCAATGGCGGAAACCGAAACCGAATTAGCTACTCTTGCCATGAACAGCAATCTGGTGAATATCCATATCTTTCAGCATCACGGATCGACCACAAGAGTCACAAGGTGCAGTTCTTGAACCACAAGTACTCTCATGTTCAGACATACCTCTCATCCTGTCTCTAGTATCAGCTGCGGAGTTACCCGCTTCCACCATATCTCCACAGAACCTACACGCGATCAGTCGAAGAGGACAATCTCTTGCTTGATGTTGAACCTGTTCCAAAATCAGAATCTCATGTTAAAAACCGATTCGAAAAAGAAAAACACAACAAAAGTAATGAAATCGTATTAAGTACGCACCATCTGTTCTTTCTCGAGCACTATACCGCAGCCACAAGTGAGTGGTTCGTGGAACACTTTCAAGTGTTTCTCCATCTCTGTTGGCTGCAATGCTTGCCCACATTTTTCACAGTGCAAGTGGTTTTTTGCCTCCTCAACTCTGAGAACGATTCCACATCCGGGATGATTACAAACAATGTTGTGTCTGCTACAGTACGCCTCGTGTAACCGGATACTCCTGCTTGGAATTGAATGCTTACAGTTTCTACACTCTACTGTATCGACATCTGATGAAGATGATAAAGCCCGCTCTCCAACCTTAGCACCATCACTGCTTTCTTGAACTAGTACTGAAACCTGATACTTCACCGTTCCCTTGAACCCATAGACACCTATACTGTAAGTCCCTGAGCTCAGAGCTCTCTCCTTTGATCCCAAGATCAAGGTTTTTGAACCCACATCGTGTGAAGACCACTCGTGTTGATTAAGAGATGGGAATAGCACCGGGTGCTTTGATACATAGAGATCTGTATCCGCTCCATCCTTTTCCACATCTATCTTTACAATAACTTTGATGTTTCCTGCCAATACTTTTTCTACAGCAGCCTCGTCCATCGTAAACTTATAGTAATCATATTGTCCTTCCTCAACTGTTCCGGATTCAGATTTCCCAAATTGAAGCGGCCTTAACACATGCTGATTCGGTTGATCAGAAACAATATCTGGACTAACTATATCAACCTCAATGTCAGTCTCCAGAACAGAAATGCTAAAAGCAGGTTTCAACTCGAGAACCTGTAGCTTATAAGAGACCTGCCCATAACTTACCGAAAGAACATCGTCTAGAGAAAGTGTAGCATGTTGACGAAGAATAGTTTCGAGGATGGCTTTATGGTTAGGCAAATCTGAGAAACCAAGGTTATCTGGTTGAAGCTTTGCGTAACTTCCTTTAGGAAGCCGGATATAACGGATTTGCACCAAAGGCACATCCATCGGATCATGCATCGAAAACAAATTGCTCCAAACGTGTGGAGGAAGCCCAACAGTACCATCATCAGCAGTAAACTCAAGAACACCAGAATGTGTAGTTTTTTTATTATCGGCGTGATCAACTACAGAAAGCTCAAAGTACAAAGGACCTTTATCGAAAGCTCCTTGATCAGATAACTCGGTAAAACACGACGTTGGAAGTTTTATCTTATCTCCGATTCCTTGAAATGGAACAGCTTGGAAGACTCGTTCAAACACTATCCCTCCTCCAACAACTAAACTTTCTTGCATATGTTCATCAGCCTGAAGACAAGTAAAAAAAACCCAATTCTTAGAGACACAAGAACCCTAAACTCTCAACACAATACCCATTTCAAAGAACCGATATTTGCATCAGAATCCACAAAGGAACAATACCCATTTCACTACCAATTCTCGATTTTACAAATCTGTAGAGACTATTACCAAATCTACAAAATTTCAATTAACCCAGAAAATCCAAAAACCTAAGCGTTGAGAAACTCGAAATTAGCAAACGATTAGAGAGGAAGAGAAAATGATACGGACCTTAATCTGGGCTTCAATGGCGTCAAGTCTTCTCGCTCTTTGAGAAGCTTCAATAGCTTCGCGTTGCTTAATCGCAGCTTCTTTTGCTCTCTTCTCTCGTTCGAGCTTAAGTTTCGCTCTTTCTTTTCTCTCTCTTTGTTCTCTCTCAAGCTTCTCTCTCGCAGATCTAAGCTCGAAATCCATCTCTAACAATTCGAAATCTGATGAAAGGTAACAACACAAAGAGATCAAAAATAAATCAAGTTTGAAGAAAAAGGAAAGAACTTAGTTTTTCTCTCTTGTCGTTCAAGAAAAAATGAAGAAATTTTAAGAGACGTCTTCTTAATAATTTTAATTACTTGTGTTTCGGGAAGGATCTGGGCCTTTCGTGAAGTCCTTTTTTTTACGGCCTGTTAAGAATCTTTGAAATCTAAACACGTATATTATATTTTGGCCAATTCCACTAATGATGATGATAACCAACTTTAATATAGGTATATTATATTTTGAATAGTGATAAGGTGGAAATCGATCATCAAAATAAAATTGTGAAGATGATGTTAATATGTTTGAACTATTTAAAGGATGTGTAAATGAAGTTAAATGGAATGATGAATTCAAAAATGATTTGCAAAGTTGGTGGTCTTGTGCGGCTCTAGGGGGTAGTAAAAGGGGTCAAAGCTGAGGATCCATGTCCAATTTCGAAAAAGTTCTTACAGAGAAGGAGTCATTTCAATTTTTTTTTTTTTTTGCTAAATTGTAAATATCATTTATATGTGTATAACAATTTATTTCCCCACGAAAACTATCGTATAAACTGGAGCAGCTAGGTTTCAAACGACTAAAACCAACGTTTGTGGATAATGAGGTTTCAAAATGAACAGTTTATGTTACAAATTACTGGAACAAAGTGTTACGAAAATAAAAATGATCTCATAGAAAGAAAATAAAAAGATAAGAACATGGAAACAAGAAACAATCAATATACTTTCAGGTTGATATGATGTGAAGCAAACGAACCCGAAAAAGTAGAAATAACAATCTTAAAATCTATGTGCTGCCAGAAAAGAAAAAACATGTAGAAAAAGTCGATGAAAAACTAACATGATAAAAGAAAGCACATTCATCCGGTAGCCCATACTAAACCTATGAACCAAAGGGCCAACAAGCAACACTACAAAGGCTATCCTCAACACCCTCAACTAAATATTAATTCCATTTCTTGTGAAGAGGTTCCAAAATTTTATGTTTGTCTTGGACTAAATATTATGTTTTCATGAACATGGATGTTGATGGCTAGAAATGTTTGTGATGGTTGAAAAAAGTTTATCAGATACTAGAGTTTTTAAAGGAGCACAATAGAAATATAACACTTAAAATATGTGAGATGAAATATAAATTTGAGTACGAGGTAAACAATATACGGTTTACTGTCGAAGTCTCAATAAGACAATTTAGTCTTGTGTGCTTATAAACTTCAACAATGCTAAGTTCAAACAAATCAAGTGAGCAAATCCCAAACAAGTTTATTCTAACTCATTAAAAGCTTAGTAAGGTGGATGAGGTAGCTCATCTGAAACTTTTATTAAATGAATAAAAAATGGAAAGCTTAAATGAGAAACACCAAACATAAATGAGATTTTGATTAAAGAGAGTTATTTTGTAACAGCTCCCAAAGTTACCAACAATTGTACTCATAAGTCATATAACAATGATTTACATAAGGGACCTATTTGCTTTGAAACCAAAACACATGGAATTGTTTTCACATTTTAATAGACTTGTGGAAATGTATGGGCTTGTCTCATAGTATGGTTTGATAAACATTCACGTGTCATCTTTCG